GCTGTGAACGAATCATTCTCCGTGAACTAATCTTTTGCTGTGAACTAATCTTTCACCGTGAACTAATCTTTTGCCGTGAACTAATCTTTCGTCGTGAACTAATCTTTTGCTGTGAACGAATCATTCTCTGTGAACTAATCTTTCGCCGTGAACTAATCTTTTGCTGTGAACTAATCACTATGAACGGATCATTCTCTGTGAACTAATCGTTCGCTTCGTTCTCGCAGATTCGTTTCATTTTTCAGGTGAAAGAGCTCGGGTCTTTTTTGCTCTCATTCATCTTCACATTGTTGTGTGTTTTTATTTCTTAGCTTTTCACATGGTTTTAATTACTTATGGCATTTTGTGTACTTTGTAGACTTTGTCAGCGGAAGCAAACCATGTTGCCTTCAGTATTTAGTGTCGGAGAACCGCAGCCTTCTTTACAACGCCCACAATAGGGCTAAAGCGCCACCTGCTGTAAAACGAATGAAATGATTAGTTCAAGATTCGTTCATTTTACTGTTCGAGAGTCAAAGATTCGTGTTTAGGTCCGAGCTGTAAGAGCTGTATTAAATGACTAGATTACTCAACCTCTAAATAGAGCCCAACTATTGCCATTAGTATGAATACAATCGTTTGCATGTAAAAAAAAAAAAGCAATCAATATGCATAACACAAATGTATTTTAATAAAAACTTACATCACCAGCATCAACAACTCCAATTTGTGGATGGGACAGATCAATGCCAAAGGTCTTCTCCCAGTGTGGTACAAGCTGCAGGGTGATACAAGGATAATGATATATTTTAAAGTCCTTTTTCTCTTTTTTTTTTTTTTTTTGAAAAAAAAGCCTCGTGAACTGTTGCATTACCAAGGGGAAATCATCGGGGTCAATCCAAACAATGCTGAGATGGGGGTGATCAGTGTTATCTTCAGCAACCTGCTTCAGGATTTCCAGAAACTCAAAGCCATCTGAGGAGCAGATTAAATGATGCTATCATTAATCATTCATGGCGCTATCTTCAATCCATTACATTCACAGGTTTTTTTTTTTTCAAAACACTATTTAGAATTGTGGCTGCAAAAGTGCTACTATACCGGGGTCGGACTCCTCTGCAAAAGCAATGATATGTTCACCATCTACATCATCTTCCTGCAGTAGAAATAAATACAAATTAATGTTTTAAACCTTTTTAGTTTAGTTTAGATGTGAAATGGTGTATGATGTCATAGGCAACATTTTCCACATTTTTCACAGTTTTCCAGTGAGCTTTTACCCAGATCTCATACATGTTGTGTGGTTGCAGCTTTCTCAGAGTTGGTCTGAAAAAGCAAAAGGATATCAATGGGAATTTGCTGTTCGTGTGAAGTAATTTAAAGTAAAAAATCTGGGAGTTTTTGGGTTCCTGTGTTTTACCTGTCATTGTCCTCAATAAATTTCACCAGCTCTTCCTCAGTATAAGGTTTTCCGGGGATGACCACTGGCTCATCCATGAAGGGTTCATAGAAGTCAACCTCATTGAGCTTTAGATCCAGCGCTTTTGCAACCTGTAAAATAATAGCAAGATAATAATGAATGGGTTATGAATGAAGAGCTGATCCCATAAGGTTTAAATGTACTTCCAAGCTTATGATAGAACAGGCATCACCAAATGGACCCCCGATAAATTTTTGAAATTACATTATATAATTGATAGATAGATAGATAGATAGATAGATAGATAGATAGTTGGATAGATAGATAGATAGATGGATAGATAGATAGATAGATAGATAGATAGATAGATAGATAGACAGATGAAATGCAGCGGGGATGGGTTTGTTCCTCTCAAAATTTTAAAAGCTCACAGAAAGACCACACCCGAGTAAAAGTACAGAGACTAAATGCAAAGCCTTTAACAGTAACTATCCCTTTCATGCATGACGGTCACTACAGTGGACAGCTATTAAAATGTCATTTTCTATGATAGAAAATAGGTTTTGATGGCAGTGTTGCATATAAGCCTCTACAGTGGACGCCTGAGAATCACCCAACACTGCTATACAGTGGTCAGCCTCTGCAACTGCAGAATAATTGTGTCAACATTCAAAAAGAAAATTTGGTGTATAAAAACAGAACCAAATCAGTTCTTATTTTTATGTCTAAAACCACATAAAAACACTTAACTCAGTATATCATGGGTCATGCATCAAAGGGCTATATATAGATTTTCACACACAATCAAGCTCTGAAAGTAATGATGTGGTTAAAGATTAAGTCAACTAATTTAGTAGTAGTAATGAGAGACCATTACTACAATTAATTCTTAATTCATGTAATAAGTTGTTTGTTATAATTGGTTGGTCAAAATTTTCAGCTTTTGAATGTCAGGTTTGTGTCGGAGCAATAAGTTCACTGACATGAGGGCTGCACTTCAAGTAGCTTCGTCTGTCCTTTGTTTTTTTTTTTCTTTTAGTGTCTTTTGTACTTTTTTTTGACTGTTCTCTTTATGTATCCAATGGATAACAATTTTGTTCCACAACGGAATGGCAGCAGCGAACTTGTTTATACAAGAAATCAGCAGCTCGCACTACAGAGGAATGCCAGTCGAGACGGGCGCGGATGCCATCCCGCAAGAACTGTGCCGCTATTGGGGCTGCAGAGCAAGTGCTAAGGTGAGAGCTCGCCTTCTGGAGAAGTGCTGGAGAAGATGTTACAGGACTCTGAGATTTCTGCCGTCCAGGTTTATGCACTGCTTTTGCTGCACAGGATAAGAGAGTGGCTGTGCTCTCAGCTAAAGTACGACCGCTCACTTCAGCTCTGGCCCAGTTCTTGGTTTTACCTCCACCTGCAAGTCCCTCTTCGACTCCAGCAGCTGCTCCAATCACCACAAC